AATTTTCCAAGCTGAAGTAAGAGTCACCTACTGGCATCCAAGGGACCCTGTGTGGGTCCAGCCCACTCCAAAAGAGATCCAACAATTGTTGGTCAATCCAAATTCAAAGGTGGCTATATTGCAGGAATTCCTCCACATAGAATTTGATTGCCTATCCATTTTGAAAGATAGAGCACAGTTTATCTTTTGCTGAGTCCATTTGAGAGTTCTACCCTTCTGTAACAAATAGAGAGATGAGAGATATCTGGACTCATGTGCGGGATTTATTTCAACACAAAGAAATTATTATAGAACACTTCCAGTACTTTATCACATTAAATCAGAACAAATCACAGATATCTCTCTCAACAGAGCACACAAAGACCAGCACTTCAGGTGAGTAAAACAGATAATTCTTGTCTAAGGAATCAACAGGAAAATAAAGAACAGCACTTAACTTAGTGTTTGGTCAGAAATACCACAGGAGAGATATTCCCCAGAGGTCTGATGTCCATATATGAGGCTAAACACTGATTGAATGGTAAACAAGTCCTTGAAAGCATGAGCTGAGTGATTAGATGATCGCTGTCAGGAATGACAATAAACACTCTGGAGAGTGTGCGCAGGTGGGAGCCAGGAAGGATTCCTGGAAATGTAGTGCTGAGGTGATATGAAGTAGCTGCTTACAGGAGAACAGTTCATATATCAACCTCTGTTGATGTAAACACAGAGTTCTCCTCCAAGACAAATAATTTCGGTTAGCCCGAAAGAGGAATAGCCCGTCAATATGCTAAGCTGAATCTGGCATGTTGTTATTAAGCCACATCTCAGTTAACAAAAGTACACAGCAGTTCCTCATTTCCTTATAGCTGCTCAATCGGAGTTGCAGTAAATCCATCTTGTTGTCAAGCGAGCGAACATTAGCCGCGAAGAGCGTTGGAAAAGTGGGTCTGTTATTAGCCTTTACTTCTGCCTTCACACACACCACTTTCTCCCTCCCCTTCACCGGTGTGTATTGCTCCTCCAGCTTACTGTCCTCAGGGGCCCTGGTCTGCCCAAAACGGCTTCTCTGGTTCAATCACTGTTTTGGGATTATTGAGTTGAAGAAGTTCAGATAAACTGTACTTCACTGTACAATTTTGTAGGACACTAACTGATAACTGAGAAGCCGCTGCACTGCTGTGCACCGCAAGTATTCTAAGTTGAATTCAAAAAATAAGACTGATTACACCTTGGCTAACAGCTAGTTGGTCTGACTAGCTCTTAAGACCCTGTCTTAACATAGAGGTTAAGCTTTGCAACTGGCCTGTGATTACTGTTACTTCCCAGCCAAAGCGATCACTAATCATAATGCAGTGTTTTATAGTAAGATAGCGCTCTTAAATCTCATGGCCATTTTATTCACAATTTTACCTTTTGAGTTTTCAAGTTCAGTGTTGGCACAGCTACGTGGCCGTGCCATTAAATTTTCTCTGAATTTGCTGTAAATTCTACTGTATACCTGGTCAGACAGCAGCAGCCAGAATAAAATTACAAAATAAAAATATAATTTCACAATACAGAAAGCAATCATACAATTATATATATATATATATATATATATATCTGTGTGTGTTTGTGTATACTGTATATATGTGTGTGTATAAATATATATATATATGCGCATATACATACAGTACATTTTTGGATGTTTGTTACAGTGTATTCTTTTTTCTCTGGGCAGTTCTCTTTCTGAGATCTTCACATAGCTTCTTTTTCATCTGTTATAGATAGTTTTCCATTATCAGGTATCCATTTCTTTTGATGCAACTGCAGAAATAAGTTGATTATGGGGAAATTATCACAAAAGGAGTTTGCTCTGAATCATATAATCCTCCGTAGGGTTGTGGAGACTGTGCAGTGTTTAGTCAGATTGTCTACATTTTAAGATATTTTGCACCACCCATAAATGTGATTGAATTCATTCATTTCATAAAGCAATTTATTTGTAGCATTTATATTCATTGACGTCCTATCTGCAGTTTGAATGTATCCATTTACAATGAATGAGGTGCGGAGGAGATGAATTGTTGAATAAAGCCGTTTTTTTTTTCTTTTGCACACAAAAAGTATTCTCGTAGCTTCGTATAATTGCGGATGAACCACTGATGTCACATGGATTATTTTACAGATCTCCTTGCTACGTTTCTGGACTTGGGAACATTTCAGTTGCGTTGCTGTCAATGCAGGGTCAGACAGCTCTCAGATTCCATCACAAATATCTTAATTTGTGTTCCGAAGATGAACGAAGGTCTTACGGGTTTGAAACGACATGAGGTTGAGTAATTAATGACAGAATTTTCCTTTTTGGGTGAACTAACCCTTTAAGCATGCCTCTTTTATTCAGTTATGTTCAGTCTTGAGCCTACTTTGCATGTATTATCTTTGCAAACACGCCAAGCCTTTTTGTGTCTTTGGACTTGCATTATGCCCACTTTTTGTTTCTTGTATTTTTCTGTTATAGTTTGGCAGGAGTTTTTGTTGTACTTTTGAACTTGCAATCTCTAGTAAAGCACTTTTTGATCAGTTATCTGTTATTCTTCTGCCGCTGGGTCCATCTGTTGCTTGCCATGTGCAAAAGCACAGTGGTAAAGCAGCAGTACAGTTGACTAGAAGAGCAGAGTTCGATCCCATCCCTAGACACCTGTCACATATATGCTGATCCAGATCTTGAGGGCATGCTTGGACCTGGCTGAAGGGCTGAGCCGGATCTGGGGGATTTGCAGGAGCATGGCTGGTTGGTCTCTGGACTAAGTGCAGATGAAGAGCTCTCCAGATGTAGAAGATGCAGATGTCACTGGTCCAGGCTTAACCCATGTCTAAGCAACCAGCCCTATAATTCATATAAGATCTATCGGGCAGCTCTAACGGCTGACAGACGTGTTTATCACCCAAAACAAGATCAAGCTTATTGTAAAATGAACAGGTGATCTGACTACAACCGCTTTGTTGCTTTGAGTGTTTAGCTTCTTTGCTCTGCGTTAAGGTTCTTCACTATGCGATCAACATGAATCTGTTATGACGCCTAAAGTTTGGCTTGCATGGAGCTGTCACCTCAATTACTTATTAGTCTTAAACCTCACTGTCGCTCCACTGTCAGTCCTCCAAAGAACTACCCGATAATACACGCCAGTGCAGAATTGTGACAAGTGTCTAGAATGGTGTAGAAGTGGCATTAGTTCTGTTATGACTGTTGAGACTGAGGCCGCACTGCAAACAACTGTATCTGGTTTAGGACCACATATGGAGTGTGGTTTGTGCTGTTCATACTGTTATGAGCAAAGAAAATCAGTTTCGGGCCACTTTTGCCTGCGGCCTGAATGCCTTTCAGTCTTTACAGTGACATGCACTGTATAAAGATCATAGATCACATGTCATTTTCAACACTCACAAAGTTGTATAGAGTTTTTGTCTACTGAAAGTGTTTTTTTTTCCAGTTGAACAGCTGGTATGTTGTTAAATTACAGTACAATCTATTGAACACACTGTGCTTCCATCCCTCACAGCCTCGTTTTCACTCCTGTCTAAATAATCAAATAAATAAATAAATGGTGCTAATCAGACTGAAGTCTATAACTCACCCACTTTTTTCACATTTCAAACTGTGGTGAGTACTAACTAGTCTTGGACCCTTCTCACTTTTTCAGGGTTCTCAGACGTGCTAGTCACCACAGATCAGTGTTAATTTCGTTGACGAATAATTTTCACCGAGGACAAGTTAATATCAAACCTATATAATGAGTTTGGAAATTTTGGAGAAATGCTTATTAAATGTACTGTAACTAAACCCATTAGATTTTAGCTGACTAAATTTACGGTAGATTTAGTCGACTAAAACTAAAAACAATTCAGATGACTAAAATATGACTAAAACTAAATGGCATTTTAGTCAAAAGTCTATGACTAAAACTAAATCAAAATTTGCTGTCAAAATTAACACAGATGGTAAACTTCTTCAGTGGTGAATGGGAGACCATGACAAATACAACATTTGTGTTTCCATTTGCTCCAACAGGAAAACTAAATCCACTATTGTGTTTCAATGACAGATTTATAGACAGAAATTAATTACAAAGATCGGAAGAGAAAATATATTTGACAGATTTACTTTCACTCCCTCAGCAGCAGCTGCATCAGAAACCCCTTCAGCAGGGTTTAGTAATTTAATACCATGGTAAGATAGCACAGAGTGTAGTAAATGTAAAGTTTTAAAACAGTAAAACATATTTTAAAAACTTAATTATTGTGGAAATGAGTCATAAAAGTAAAAAGGTTTGATGGCTGATGCTGAAGTCAGCACTCACACATGCCATACTGTAAACAGACCTTCTTTTGTGTTTACAGACATGACAAACATACAAGAACCAGTCACGTAAACGAGAATTTGCTGCCAAATCTGACTCGACAGCGTAACAATTTGTACTCGGTCAATAATAGAATTTTGTAGAATTTTGTTGTTTCTTCTTCTTCTTCTTTCTCTTAATAAACCTTTCATAGTGCAAGTTTAATACTATTAATTTTTCACTTAATCACAAGTAGCATATTTTCAGAAATGTAGTGTAATGAAAAGGAAGATGTTATGAATTAATTATAAGTTGTTCAGAATGAAACTGATCTAGCGTTTCAACCTGAGGTGGGTTAACAACAGCACTGATACTTAATCACTATTTTACTGATAACATGTGTCTTCTAAACTAGCAAAGTTTGAGACACAAGCGTTACAGATGTTGCAGCAAAAAGAGTTACAACCACTGAGCTCCAGGGCCCCTCTGAGGTTACACCTATGCTTCTGCACAATAACCCGCAAAACTTCCAATATTTTGTTATTGTTTCATTTGTAGATTATTAAAGAATACCTTTGTTCTAGTAATTGGATCTCTGTCTGTAGTGGCTTCGTTTGTAATGGACGTTTGCAGTAAACAAGCTTCAGTCCCCGCCACTTCCTGCTGCTGCCAGTCGCGGAAACACCAGTGTGTGTGTGTGTGTGTGTGTGTGTGTGTGTGTGTCAGTGTGTTTCGTGAATGGGCTCCGGTTTGACTGGGATTATCGTCTCTTATCTGCACACATCAGCTCGCGGCGAGCGAATAATGGTCGCACACATGGCGCATTCTGGAGAAACTGCGGAGCTGAGCGACGGGTGAGTGTCGATGCGAACTGACTGCTGCACGAGCGCTTCACACCATCATCATCCTCCGCTCCACACACTCTTCTTCTTCTTCTTGGCTTTTAACGGCGGCTGGCAACCAGCGTAATTAGGTGCATTACCGCCACCTTCTGCTCCGGAGTGTGGAACAGAGAGTTACATTCTACTTATTAATCCCGTCCTTTTAAGAAAATGAAAGAAAGCTTTACTATCCGTCCACCCGCTGAGGTTTCCGCCATCTTTTTCCCGGAATCCTTCGAAACGCTCGTTCAGCACATGCGCACCTCTTCCCCCGCTCCACACACACACAGAGTCACATGGTAATAAGAGTGCTGCTACGGAGGACTAACGCTTCAGTCGGGGCTCAGCGGTTAGTCACGTTTATGAAGGTTATTTCTCCGATAAACACTCTGAACGACCGATGCACTGCACTGCAGGGGCGCCTAGATCAGTTCCACGCGTCTCCACTAGCTGCAGTGCTTTCTCCTGGTTCATTTATTTCAAATAATAAGCTGAAAAGTTCGGGATGTTCTAGTCAAATTGTGCTTATGTAGGAAGCAAGCCTCTGGATGCGAATGTAGCAGTAGTTCTATGGAAAAGGCTCATGAATATTAATAATTTAATATGTCATTGGCCAGTAGGATTGGCAGGTGTTTTTACAAGCTATCACAAAAAAAGGAGGGGGGACCGTTTTGTGGCGTATAATGAGTATGTTAGATTTAAAGGGATAGTTCATCCAAAAATGAACGTTCATTTAAAACAAAGCAAGCAAACAAACAAACAAAAAAAGCAGAACACAAAAGAAGATATTTGTAAGAATGTTGGTAACCAAACCAAATGGTTCCCATTGACTTACATAGTATTTTCCCCATGTAAAGTCACTGGGATCCATCAATTGTTTGATTACCCGTATTCTTCAAAATATCTCATTTAGAGTGACCATACATCCCCTTTTTCCCGGACATGTCCTCTTTTCGGACCTAAAAAAATGTGTCCGACCGGGATTTCTAAATCGCCCAAAATGGCCGGGATTCGGCTTTTGCTTTCTACAGTCGCCATTCATAGTGTGCGTTTTTGTATTAAAGCCCTGCGAGGGACTGCTTTCTTAATCCCGCTCCCGCTGAATTTTTGACCATTATCGCCCGCTCCTGTGATTTTTGTGTCCAGTGCTCCCGCAAACATTCTAATATTGCATATGATTTTCAATATGCGGGGTTTTAAAATCTCTTTTGAATGAGCGCTCGCTGTTCACATTCGATTTCGCGATCACTGTGTGAAGGAAGATCAGATATTTGTCAGTGAGTTCAGGATCTGTTGAGCAGCAAATCCTCCAGCATGATCTGTCAGCCATCATCTCTCCTCTCGACCCGTGATCAGTCAAATCTGACTCCTGCAGCTCGTGTGGGATGCAGGGTTGTCAAGTCCACTTTTTTTTTTTTCCTTGGAATTGGGCTGCTTTTAAACGGTTGCCATGGCTTGATTTCCCCCCGTGGGTTAAATGTTTGAAATGTTGCATAAATTACATTTGACTGAAATGCTTGTATTGAAACAGTTTACATTCTACCTATGATAAAACTGTGCGAGATTTGTTTTGTAAATAGGACCACTAATAGGAAGCTTTTTAGCTGTGTTTATGATCAATATGCACAACAGTGACTGTAAAATATGTATTTTTTTAGGTATGGAAATGACATATTTTTGATATTTTGATATAGCGTTGATATTTGGGATATGGTCATTGCGCTAGTTTGGGCGCTACTTTAACCACCAACCAACCACACCCCAGCCCCCCGCCCTGCCCGCACCCACTGTCCTCTTTTTGGAAAACTAAAATATCTAATTACCAGTGGAAAACCAGTAAGAAAACATGCTGAGCGCAGTGGATGCAGCATCTGTGTTGATTTGTTAAAATGAATGAAAATATAATTTTTCACTTACAATAAAACAAATTTGCATGGTACAATAGTGTACAATCATGATAAAATAATGATTCAATTTACAACACCTTCATAAATCAAATAAAAACATAAAAAGCCAAAACGCAACCAATGCACATTTTTATTCATCATTTTGTAGACGTAGAGTTGTGTTGAATTCATACAGAAAAGGTACATCGTGATCTTGCTCTGACCAAAGTTATTTGAACACACTGGATGTTGTAATTACAGCGTACTCATAAATACAAACTTCCCAGGAGGACTTGAATGCACCATTAGTCAACCTGTTTCTTATTGATTCATGCACAGCTCTTCAACAGAGCACCTGACAGATATTCAACAAATAAATAGACTTATAAGTACATCATTCCCTTTATTGCACAACACTATCAAGGGTCTCATGAGAAAGACTGCACTTCCCGTATGCAGAATGATGATGCACTCGCTCCTCGCTCCACATTCAGCTTATATCTGAGAGATGAGGAAGATTGTGGGTGAAACATCTACTTTGTGGCTTATAACACCTCATAAGTAAACCTGTGGATGATAACAGGAACACGGCTCACAGCGGGACATCTGAAATCCCACAGTCCTGAAATACACTGTCGACTGCAGCAGAGCATTCAGCGTTTCACAGCTTTACCTGATGAGGGTTAGTTCACTGAAACACAGCGGTCATGTCTTTGGGGTTTCCTCATGCGGTCAGATTTCACTGAGACCCTCCTCTCTTATTTTGCGTGTGCCGCACACAAATACAGTTGCATGGATGAGTGTTCTGTGGGTAGTGAGTGAACAGAAGAAGCAGGTGAATGAAAGGGATCGGGATGACAACTCTCAGTTCACTTGCCCATCCAGTCTTAATGACTTGAACGGATTTGGATTGCTGTTCTAGCAGAAGGGGCTCGGCTTGGGTGCCAAACGAACCCCCTCGGTTTCAGTAGGTATTGGATAGAGTGAGGATGCTTAGAACAGAGGAAGAGTTGACTAATCAGTATTTGGATGAGTAGTCGAGCATCCTGAGGCGTGTTTCCCAAAACCACCGTTAGCCAACTATGTTCTATGTACAACAGAGTTCAACCATTCAGTGTTTTCTGAAACCACAGTTCAAACAAACATTCGCAAACTTCATCGCAACCAGTGTTGGGGAAAGTTACTTTTAAAAGTAATGCATTACAATATTGCGTTACTCTGTATTTGTGTTACTTAGTTACTTTTTCTGGAAAGTAATGTGTTGCGTTACTTTTGCGCTACTTTTTCTCATCTAGGCTGGGCTCATTTTTCTCTCTTCAGCAATAAAAAAATGAAACAAATGTTTATCTTAAGTAGGGATGCACCGATAGGATTTTTTGGGGCCGATGCCGATTTTAACAATCACTTATTGGCCGATACTGATACCGATATTTGTCACTTCCTCTCTTATTTGAAATGTTGGCATCAAAATAGATAGTATTTTGATCATGTTTTAAATCAGCAAAGTTCAAAAACACCTGCATTAAATTATACTAGTAGTTTTATTGCTGCATCATCAAATAATTTGTAATGAACATGGATTGGATCCATTTAACATTCAGCAGGCCTACATAAATACAACAGAACAAAGATACATATTAAATAAACGTTGCTTTTTAGGTAGGTTTAACAGTTTTCAGGTACAGAAATAAAGTAAACAAATCGTGCTGTGTTTTGTTTAGCTCTTATGGTGATATTTTTGGAGTGAAAAAGGAAGCAATAAACTTACAACATCAGTAAAGTTTTGGTCATTATTCAGATGAGGTCCGCTACACTTATGAAAGTTACAAAAGTTATTTAGTCAAGAATAGTGTGCGATCTTTTGTCTTTTGTTATTTGATTAGCTGCATTAAAGTGCAGACAGCAGCGCTAGGATTATGCTACAGACATTATACAGCTCAGTGCCTTCACGCAGTTAATTAATAAACCATCGGTTTGTTATATCGGCTTTTTTCCTTATATAGCCGATATGCCGATGGTTGTAAATTGAGGAAAAATCGGCCGATAAATATCGGCGGCCGATACATCGGTGCATCCCTAATCTAAAGTAATTTTTGTTTATTAGTATGGTTGAGTCGGATCATCAAAAGTCAGCAGCACAGATACTGGTTAATAAAATGCGATTAAATGCATAACGTATATCTGTGTTATTTACCATATTTAATTGTTGTAGGTTTGCTTCATATTCTGAGTTTGCATTTCACTGTTTTTATTCATTTCGAGGAACACTGAATCTGTTTTTGTGCGAGTGAGATGAGTAAATGCATGTTGACATTTAGTCTCGAACTACAGTAAGATCATGTTCACACAACGCTTCTGAACTCACTCCTGATTCTCTCAACATGCGGACTGGAGAGCGGTCAGTCAGTACATGAGGAAACAAAGTTCTGGTGTTACTGATCTGAAAAACGAACTCAGATATTTTCTTGTAAATTAAAAAGTAATGCATTACTTTACTAGTTACTTGAAAAAGTAATCTGATTACGTAACTCACGTTACTTGTAATGCGTTACCCACAACACTGATCGCAAGTCAGACACAGGGACTTATCAAGTTGAACACTGTGTGCTTTTCTAACACACTTTGCTGATTTTCCTTGAATATTTTCTGATGCTCTTTGAGAAGAAGCTTCTCTGCTGTAGTGTGCCGTGTTTTGTGTGTGTGGTTTGTTCCTCTAGCCTGAGGTCAGAGTGTTTTCAGCTCTGACATGCAAACAGATGAAAACCCGCCTCAGTGCTGATGACACACATCTCATGAAGCTGCAAATGACATTTGACTGTGAAACTGAATGTGCACTAGGTAGGGGAGTAATGATATTCAAATCGAACCGAAACCCCGCGATACACCACCCACCATACGTATAAACTCAACACAAAAAATATGTCAACATGCCCGTCTTTGTGAGTACCCTTGCCAACCTTGTTGGTCATGTCTAAAGTGAACGTAAACAGTCGAGGAAGACGACACACGTGTGTCAGTATCTGTGAGGAACAGCAGTCTATTCCTGCTGTCTGTGTTTTTAATGTTAAACAACAGAAGTCGAGGAAATCACTCACTGCTCTTGACTGAATAGCTTTTGCAACTTCAACAAGGATTGGTCTTTAATTAATACAGTGAAATATGCACTGTTATTTTACATTTGTTTACTTTTCAATTTCTGGGCCTGAAAATTACTGTTAAACACCTGTTTATTTATTTATTTCATTGTATTTATTTGTGCTGATGCATTTAGTTTGATTATTTGTTGTTGTTATTTTCTTTATTTTTATTTGACCATAGTACCTTTTTTCCCCTGAACATAGCACATACTGAACCGAAGCGTGAGCAATCTGAGCCGTTACACTCCTAGCTCTAGGACAGGCTGTGTGTCTGTGTGAGGTTCGTCTGCTTTAGGGAGGGTGCGCTGGGTAATATGAGAAGCTGGCACTGTGTTTCCTGTCATTGTGTGGAATGTGACAAGCAGACAATGATATATTCCCTGACAACACAACAACTGTGATTTCTGAAACAAGGTTCAGCATAGAGTCATGATTGAGGGTGCATTGATGATGGATTGACCTTGCAGTATTTGATGTCCAGTTAGCAGTGAATGTGTTCATGTATGTGTGTTCAGTCAGACTGTAACCGAGATTCTGTTACTGTTGAATGTAGTTGTGCATCAGAAGACTATCAGACACCTACTGGTCTAATTCTTGGAAGTGTGTGTGCACATAATTTTTACATAAATTTAAACATAATTGAGAATAAAAGTACAAAAACCTAACATTGTCACATTAAAAGTAAAAAAAAAGAAGAAAAAAAAAAGCTAGGGCCCTATTGTTATGGAACGTGGTATGTAGAAACTCTCTCGACAAGGAACAGTTTAGGGGAAAATACTTTTAATCACAAGTGTTCAGGAAACAGGGAAAATGCAGAACAATGACCGAACAATGAACGGAAGAAACTCAGGGCTTAAATACATTGGCAGATAATATTCAGAAGAACTACGAACACATGAGGAACTAATGAGTAACTATGGAAACAGATGAGGGAGTAATAGGAAACAATCTAGCGAACAGAACTACAGAACAGGGAACAGACTGAAAACGAAACGAAAACAGACTAGACATGTTTCACCTATTCAAAGAATAAATACAGTTTTGTGGCTGTTTAATGTGTGGTGACGGATCGCTGTATCCTCAGTTCAAGCGGCAGGCGAACCGATCCTCTCTTCCTCTGTACTAGTTATAGCAGGAAATAAACATGAATGACCATCAGAAGGGATCTTGTTTCAACCGCAGAAAGACATCAAAACACCATTTTTCAAGTTCAGGTACACTAACGTTAATATACTCTTGTCTGGTTTGTTTGTCAGACGAAATTCGGCAGAGTCTGCGTTATGATTGGTCAGATCGCCTGTCAGTCAAACTCGCTGCAAAGGGTCAATTCTAACAATAATAGTGGCCTATGAAATATTTTGCTTTTACAGAAATTTTGTGCTTTAATATTCACAGACTCTAGTCAACATTGTGGGTTGATTAAGTATACAGACCTACTTTGGGTTTATTCATCCTAAATTGATCAAATTCTGTGATATTCCGCTTTATACTGTACATTTCATTTTTTTGACTCTGTGATTCCGTCCACATTTTCAGCATCACAGTAATCATAGGGCTCTAATAAGCATTAATGACACCTCCCATGATCTGACACTCTTAAAGATAAGCTAAATAAAAACTGTTTTTTAATTAATTCTATTTTTTTAAATACCACAACCAAATGATTTTCTTGATGTGAATGTGCATTATTGATTCTCAAATGTGTGTCGTTCTGCTGATGCTGATGAACTGACAGCAGACATGTTTTCTCAAAAAACAAGAGCAGAAGTCTAATAGCATGTATAGAGTGTAATACTTCTGAAGTGACAGAATGTGATGGGTTAATGTGTTGATGTGCGTGTGTCTGAGGATCAGGTGTCATGTTACAGGATCACACGCTCACGGCATGAACTACTACGTTACCAATGACACCACGAAACCACTCCTGTTTAGTCAACACAGCTCTCTGTATGAATACACAACATCAGCAGCATCCTTTATTATAATGTGTATGGGCGGTAAAATGGTATATGTATCCATTTACAGGTTTAGACATGTATAATACAAAAAAGTGTGAATTATATCTGCCTCCAAAGGCCTGCTCTACTTCACTGATCCTTCAGATATCCACATTAAAACAAGATGTTTGTGCATGTATGTTTATGAACGGTTTGATATTTACACACAGTGTATTTGTTCTTTTCAGGAATGGAGAGGTTTCACCATCAGACCTGAAGGGTGAGTCAATGTGTTCACAAACCCTACTCAAACCTGACCAGTCTAATTATATTAACCCTGCAAAGCCTGACATGTGACATAATAGTCACATAATAAAAATGGAAGAGTTTATCAAACCTTTAGACAAAATATATTTGATACATGAGCTCAGATTTTATTCTGAGGCCCAAACTGATCAAAAATAGGCAATTTCAAAACATATAATGCAGTGATTGAGAGCTGAAGAAATAAAGGCTCCTCAGAAGATGTGAGATGTTCTGGAGGCTTGTGAAGATCATTCCTCCGCTGAGGAACAGTGAAAGTAAAGCTTCTGGAAACAAACGCTCCTCAAAAGATCCTGAGGATCAGATTTGAGACTCTAAAACATGATTGATGGAGAATCAAGTAAAGCTGAGCTGCTTCAGTCCAGTAAGTGTTCATCTGGAGATATTACTGACGTTATTCTGACCTTTACTTGATCAAAACCAGTCAAGATTTGACACGAGAAGCTCCAGCTGAAGCTGGACGCTTGTACAATTACACTAAAAGAGCTTTGACTGGATAAAATACTCAGAAGACAGAAGACATGGAGCAGATTGTGTATGAAACAGGTTTATCAGCAGAATTTGATCATGTTGATCATTTAGTGCTTTAGACATGTGCATATGAAATATGATAAAGCTGGTTAAGCTTGAACAGAGAAAATGACATGATTTCCAGTCATAGGAGGGTTGAGACTGTAATCTGTCACGATGTCGGCGCATGTACAGTGTCCAGCAGAGGTCAGCAGAACCTTACTATGCTCTTTATGTTACACTCCATTACCTATGGGGCAGCTTTATTTCATTGGCATACTATTATTGTTCATTCTTATTTTGATATATCATTCTTATTTTGATATAAATATTTGGATATATCTTATATATTTCATGTTTTTAGTTTTAGTGGTACATAAAGTTAAAATAAATGAAAGTTGCCTTGGCAAAATAAGTATATATAAATATATATATAATTATGTGTGTTCATTTCAGTGTTTATTTTACTTAGAGGAACAAACATTTTTTTTTCTGTGGTTGTCATGTTAGTTTATATCATACACAGAAGCAAGGTTTAGTGCAAAAAGTGTTGGGTAATGTTGTGTATATTAGTCTACATTCAGACTGCCTGCAAAAATCCAATGTTACAGATCTGTCTCAGTCTGGACGCTCTGGCTGCTCAAATCAGATGTCCTATTGTCTTCTGCGTCACTCTTAACACAACGATAACGTCAAAACTGCTGATGGAAATACTGGATGTGTTCATACAGTCCTCAAACGAAGCCTTAGAGGCAACTTATTCAGCTCGGTTCACCACTATTGGGGTGTTTAGTTGACATATAGGTGAGGAGACTCCAGTGCTGTGTGTCGGTCAAAATACTCAGATCAGACAGAGAGAGGAATGAATCTGTTAAAAACCAAAATGTGTCAGTAGCCCCCTGACATCTATGTAAGACTTTCTAATAAGCAGTTGAATGAAGTCCTGGCAGTGTGACTCTTTATCTGAGGTGACAGATAGGGTTTCCCCGAGCGTCTGAATGAATCAGAGCAGCACATGTGAAGCTGTGTTCAGTGATGCTGCTCACGCCGTAACACCTCGTCACATTCAGCTGAACTAGTTAAACCCTGAACCTGGGTTTTTAATTGTTGAAATTACATTATTTTACAAATATCAAAACTGTTAATGATCTTTACTCACCATGCAGCGTAATAAAAAATGTGTCAGTAGCCCCCTGACATCTATGTAAGACTTTCTAATAAGCAGTTGAATGAAGTCCTGGCAGTGTGACTCTTTATCTGAGGTGACAGATAGGGTTTCCCCGAGCGTATGAATGAATCAGAGCAGCACATGTGAAGCTGTGTTCAGTGATGCTGCTCACGCCGTAACACCTCGTCACATTCAGCTGAACTAGTTAAACCCTGAACCTGGGTTTTTAATTGTTGAAATTACAATATTTTACAAATATCAAAACTGTTAATTATCTTTACTCACCATGCAGCGTAATAACATATATCATTCAACAATCTATAAAAGATGATCAAATACAGATGAGCCAAATTACCGCACTAAAGCTGCATTTAGACTTTGTATCAGGTGGCACACAGAGAGATGATGCAAAGGCAAATCAAGAGCAACTCTTTTTACAAGTCAAAACACTAGAAGGCGAAGTAACATGAGAGTCAGGAGGAGGAGTAGAGCTCACCACCAACAGCACGAAACACACACACACACACACACACACACACTCAATAATAAGAGTCGCAGAACAACTAAAACACAGAAAGAGTGACCTCAAGTGGCCACAAAAAGGACAAGAGCACCTAAATAATGTGATTGCTGGTTATTTTCAATTATTTCTATTTAAATATCTGTTTCTGTTTTCTGTTTAAACAGATCATCCTGCTGAAAGGTCTCACAGCAGTGCAGGTATGTGAATTCATTTAAAATTCAAGGCATTAATGTTTGCATACAAAACCACCACTGGCTCTGCACCCCTTTACCTAAATTCATTACTTCAGACTTATGTGCCTCTAGAAGCTTGCGTTCTGCAAGTGAACGGCATATTATTGTGCCATCTAAAAGAAGCACAAAATCACTTTCACAGACTTTTACCTGAAGTGTTCCCTCCTGGTGGAATAACCTCAATCCCAGCAGCTGAGTCCTTAGCCATGTTCAAGAATCTGCTAAAAACACATCTCTTTCATCTTTATTTGACCCTCTAACTCTAGCACGCTCTATTCTATTTCTATTCTATCTACTTGTTTTCTTTTTATTCATATAATAAATGTTCACTGGAGGCAAGTTGAAGTAGAACCCATGTGCAGTTTTATTCAACAAAAGGAGACTCAGAATACAAGAATAAACAAAGACTTGGCTTGACATGAACTTGACTTTGAACATAGACTCACCAGCAGTGGATTACACAAACAAAGCTAGACTATGGACCATGAGGGCTATATATACCAACACATGACACAATCCAACCAATGACATCTTATTGTTTTCGTTTTATTTATTAATAAAAAAATAAATAAAAACACGTGCTACGTGTGCTGCGTTAGACTAACCGGGATTCGTCACAGCACTTACATATTAATGCCCTTTTGTTGGTTTGATTGCTTCTGTTGTCCTCATTTGTAAGTCGCTTTGGATAAAAGCATCTGCTAAATGACAATGTAAAAGTCTAGTCTGCTGTTTGATTTTAATAAGGCACACATTGATGAGTAGCATATGAAGAATGAACAGACTAAATATTGCATCTAGATGAGGGTATCATTCCCTACATATGTCTCATGCAGAAACACCCTAAAATATCAGGATCAGTGCAGCTGCAGGAACAAGTATGTCAATCTTTTGTTCCCTTCAACTTACGCCCCAAAAAAAGGAAAAACTAACACAAACAATACCATGAAAACATTGACTGTGCAGGTCGAAAAATGATGTGAACCTTGGATTTAATGAGAGCTTGAGTGTTTGGCAGCAATAGCCTCCAGCAGACAGGATCAGGAGGAGCGTTACACATGCAGACACTTCCTAAGACACGCGTGGCTTGACCTGTGGTCACCGGGATCCATGTGTGACAGCTTGGAAGAACAATGGGAAAGTTTAAGAAGAGAAAACACGATGTAGAATCGAGGGATGTAGAGTCGTCAGAATTTTGAAAGTTTTCTGTATCGGGTTTTTACACTTTTCGCAGATGTCACCATTATTAATAAAAGTACATTTGCACCTGCATCCCATCTCAAACTCAGTGCTGTGCTGTTAAATATTAATTTCCAAGAGACAAATTATGTCATATTGCTAGTAAATGAACTTATTTGTTAATCAACATTTTGACCCAGAGAGGATTTTCCTGAAAATGATAGTTAATGTTGTCGCGTTGGACTAAACCTTACTGACTTTGCTCAAACAAGGTTTTTTGTTTTGTTTTGTTTGTTTGTTTTTTTGATAATTTTTTGTACTTTTTGGGGGATTTTTTCCCCAACCTTGTTACACTTGTGGCGTTCCTGGCCAAAAATGACCTGTCTACAAAAAATTGCTTATAAATTTCTTGTTATGCTATATTATTACCAAATATTGGTAATTCCCTCAGTTTTTGAGACAATATTGACAAATTATAAACAAATATGTGTATTTATTTATTTATTTAGTCTTAGTCCTGTGTTAAATGTCTTCATTTTATCATATTTAATCATTTTTTTGTAGTTGACTAAAATTTTGGGAAGTTTAGTCTAGTTTTACTCAATATAAACTCATATTTAGTCATGCTGTATAATAGCTAAACTGATCAATTCAAATCGCAATCACTGATCATGATGTCATTTGAGAGATTTCATGAGAATTATTGCACTTTCACCAATAAACACAAATCAAGAGAATGTCAACTCATACACATGCTTTTTGACCTTCCTGATTTATTACATTTTCATAAATTAACATTCTTTACATTACGAAAACTGGTTCAACTTAGGGTTAGGGTTAGGGTTAGTTAGTTCTCATATAAATTCCAATATTCAGTGATTTGCGCTAACATTTCTCCCTCAAAGAAGCATGCATGCTCTGGTATTATTGTGCATGTGTTTGTTCAGATAACACATCAGCTGAGGAGAGCTCGGAGGAAGAGGAAACCCATGAAGAGGAAGAGGAAAGAGATTCAGGTTGACATTTGATCACTCTATATAATCTTTTCTGGTGAACTAAGAAAGCACGCTGATGCTTTTTACACTCCTTATAATCTACTACAATATTAGTAATGCATCTGAACAGTAATGTATCTTGCAGTTTTACTCGGTATGTTTTTGTCGTATGTCTGAACAAAACCTGAGTGCTTCTATGTTTTAAACAGAAGATGAATTGCACTGAAAGCCTAAGATACAGTAAGAATCACAGTAACGGACAACACGAGACTGTAGTATCATTTTATTTTAAGATGAAGCTTTCAGCGGTCAGTCTTATTGATCTTGAGTGAAGGATAAACCATAATGATACATGTTCACGCTTTTCCAGACTCCGACACGAGACCCAGAGCAGAAGATCACCGTGGTAATGATACTCCAGCATGTTTGATACGTGTGCCGTGTTTAGATCACGAGCTGATGTCATAAATCTGTGTTTCTCTCCCGTGACGCCTCAGACGAGCAGCGTCAGGCCAGCTGTGAGAAGTGTAAAGCTCTGAAGGTCAGTCTCTGGACACCCATAGCATCAACACAACCTTCTTAGCTTCATGGCATTCTACAAAACATTTAGCGTAGTAAACAATCAATGTTTCAACAGTGGAAATCTGTAAATATCAGCGTTAAATAGTATTTCTAATAAGCACCCTGTAATACAGGGGTTCTGTGGGTCTTATTAAAAAGTCTTAATTCACCCTTCCACAAATGAAGGCCTTGAATTAGAGCAGGACGTCTTAAACTCATGAAGTAATGGCATTAAACGTTGCATGCATTGCTAAAGATAAGTATCTTCCTCAGTATTCTGTCTTGTTTTCCAGTACAACAATCTAAACATCCTTGAATCAAGACACATTTGCTTACTAAATTCTAGTCTAAGTTTCTTTGCTTGGTCTTATAAAGTCTTAAATTGACCTTCATAAACCCTGTCGTGTCGTGACTTCGAGCACAAGGCTAGTAACGGCTCAATGCTGTCAGCCCTGTGACCTCCTCTCTAAAGACTTACACTATCAGTCAAACGGTTGCTACTCTTTACTTTACTGTTATTCTATGAAGCTAATTTCATGCATTTAATCATAAGCCTTTAGTTTAAAAGGTTTCTAAGATCATGAGATACATAAATTCAGTGAAGTATACGTTGTGTATCTATATACCAGCATATCATAATATATACCTGGTACTAGTCTAGGAAGGCTCTGTTGAGTGCCTTTTCTGGTCTAATCACACTCAAAAAGCACACTCAGACAAAGACAAGACGATACATAAAGCTAAAAATAAACCAGAGAGCAGTGACAGAACCCTGACAGCCACAACCCATGTTTCTCACACCATTTTTCTCATTTGCATCAACTTTTATTTCTCCAAAGGAACTTTAGGAGAAACATCTGAGACACTGTTATATGAGCACCAAGTGTCCTGAGCTGAGGAAAAGCAACCTCTGAGCAATACATCTGATCACCCAGTCATACACAAACACAACACACACCAGATTCATCTCATATTTTGCAGAACTGTGAAATAGCTTGATGAGAGAAGCATCTAAAACATTTTAAATACTGAAAATGAATGCAAATAAATGTACATTTATAAACTGAAGCAATTGAATCTATTAAAACGTCTCTTGTCTGTTTTGAAGTGCTGTGTCTGGTTTCATGATGCACTAATGAGCACTGAATCCAATGTTTCTGCGTCAAAAACCAACCAAATCTTTATCGCTACAGACATCAAGGGCTAAACCACAGTTTGAGAACCACTGGTAAATACAATATTATTGTAGACGAAGCATTCAAAACTGGCTATTTTACGAAATAGATTGACAGAATGGCTTATCAACTACTGATGATGAATGTAATGCTGACACAAAACTGTTTTTTCCCTCACAGAATCCCAAATATGAGCTCGTCACCCCCAGGAAGATGTCTCAAGATCGGCTACAGTAGGTTCTTGTTCTCCATACCGTACATATGTCCTCAGTACAGTAGCGTGATCAGTCACATCTGACTCACTCGCTTTATGACTCTCTTTTTCTAAATGACCAGTGCTGCGGTCTAAACCTGACTAGTCTGACATCCTTCTCTGCACTGCCAGGTTTATAAAAATGTCAAATGTGTCATTTCTGTTGCATGGTATTATTCCCCAATGAATGATATGTCAAGAAAGCCAAGGTTCAAAATGCCACATATGAATTGGTAAACCTTTGAAAAACTACTGTCCAAAAGTTAGAGGTCAGTTTTTTTTATGTTTTTGAAAGAAGTCTCTTCTGTTCACTATAAGGCTGCATTTATTTGATCAAAAACACTAATATTGTGAAATATTATTACAATGTAAAACAGCTGTTTTCTCTGTGAATATCTGTTAAACTGTAATTTATTTCTGTGATGCGCAGCTGTATTTTCAGCATCATTACTCCAGTCTTCAGTGTCACATGATCTTCAGAAATCATTCTAATATGCTGATTTATTAGAAACATTTCTGATTATTATCAATGTTGAAAACAGTCGTGCTGCACAATATTTTTGTGGAAACCGTGATGCATTTTATTTTTCAGGATTCACAGATTAATAGAAAGTTCAAAAGAACAGCATTTATTTGAAATAGTAATATTTTGTGACATTATAAATGTCTTTACTGTCACTTTTGATCAATGAATGAATTAAAGTATTAATTTCCTCCAAAAACATATATTTAAAAACATAAATTTACATATACATACTGTATATTTACATATATACAATGGGTATAGAAAATAATCAGCCCTCTTTAAAATAATCACATTTTGTTGCTTTGCTGCCTGAAATGAAGACGTCACACAGTTTTTGTTTTATCCAGCTGTATTTACTCAGTGCAACTTATAACATCCAAGTGAAAGATATAACACCAACATGTCAGAAAATAAATAAAAAACAGAATCACTGAGTTGGAAAAAGGATCAGCTCCTCGTGTCAGTATTTTGTTGAAGCACTTTTTGCTGTAATTACAGCCTTTAGTCTGCTGGGATTTATCTCTACTAACTTTGCGATATTTGCCCGCTCTTCTTTGCAGAACTACTCAAGTTCAATTCAGTTTGTGTGTTTTGGCAAAGCTCAGTTGTGACTGCGTGTGGCCTTTCTTGAGGAGTGGCTTTTTTCTTCAACCCTCTCATACAAGTGAGTGAATGTGTGTGTGTGTATGTGTGTGTGAGAGTGTGTGTGTGTGTGTGTCTGTGTCTGTGTCTGTGTGTGTGGATGTTAGTATTGAAATGTTTAGTAATCATTACAGCTTATGAGTTAATAATAGCAGATACCTTCTGACTAAATAGAATTATGATCAAAGGAAAGTGTTGTGATAACTGTATAGGCTGGTAACTGCAGTGCTTACAGTTTTACACTCTCAGTGTTCATCTGTTTGACAGTGTGGCTCTTCTGTAGGCTGCAGCTGGATGCGGAGGGTGTGTATGAGTGTTCAGACACGGGGCTGGTGTTCGAGGTCTCTCAGCGTGTGAAGATCACCTACTGCGTTCTCTCCTGGAGCAAGTTTAGCACCTACTTGACTGGATCCTGGAAATTTGCTGGTCCCATTTTCGATGTGGACTGCGATCCGTCTATCCTCAAATCCGTGCAGTTCCCGCACTCACTGTGTCTAGCAGGTACAGAGATATCATAAAACAGTTTTCACAGTAGGGTTTCTCCAAAAGAATAAGTGCTCGTTTGAGGGTTTTGACATGATGGTAAACGTTTAGATTTTTGAGAATTGCATCAAAACGTTGAGCATTCTCACTTCTTTCTCTTCTTTCTGCTCGCTCGTTTGCGGTCATCTTCTTCCGTGTCTTCCCTTCGCTCTCAGCAGATAAAGACAACGAGGTGAAGTTCAGCGTGCTGCATGTGAAGAACAGCCGTGGTCTGATCGAGCCCTCTGCGGATCACTCCGGCAGTCACGTCAGGTGGAACGTGTCGTCTCTTTCGCCCGTGGGTCCGATTGTTCAGACGTCTAAATCAGCAGAGCATCATGGGGTTGTGCAGGTGTTCAAGGAGGTGGGCCATGAGAACTCCTTCTCCTTCAGAGTTTACCTGGCTGGAAACAACTGCTCCGACATCAAGGTGAGGAAACAAAAAGGCTTCTGCTTTCACAGAAATGACACGGTTTTTACACAGCAGGGCTGACTGGTTGTATTCTCGGTAGCGCTGCTTATGTGACATTTTGGTAATCTTCTATATTTAGACTGGATTTCAGAGTTAAGCTAGAGCTTGCCATCTTCAGGGACTAGTGCTGCTAAGTGTTGACATCACACCGGTTTCAGTTCTGCATGTCTGCCACTCTGGGTGATTATTGCTGTGCTCGTCTGAGTGTGGGAAGTTTGATTGTGTGCGTGTCATCAGCGACTAAATGCCTGTAGCTACAGAACAGAAGCTTTAAAATCCCTGGAGGATATCAGCATTTGTTTCATGTTCCATCAGATCTGGAGAAATGTAGCATTGCATCAGTGTCTCAGCAATGGATGCTCTGCAGTGAATGGGTGCCGTCAGAGTGAGAGTCCAAACAGCTGATAAAAAGGGCTGGTAGCACAGTCAACAACTCTAGGCAGTTGATGGCCATATGTTTAGAGAGCCTCTGAAAGTATTTCAGTGGACCGCGGTCTTGTGCTTGAAAAAGTTATATATACAGTGGGTACGGAAAGTATTCAGACCCCCTTTACCATCCAACCTGACAGAACTGGAGAGGATGTGCAAGGAGGAATGGCAGAGGATCCCCAAATCCAGGTGTGAAAAACTTGTTGCATCTTTCCCAAAAAGACTCGTGGCTGTATTAGATCAAAAGGGTGCTTCTACTCTAAATACTGAGCATGTGATATTTCAGTTTTTTTTTTTTAATAAATCTGCAAAAATGTCAACAATTCTTTTTTTTTCTGTCAATATGGGGTGCTGTGTGTACGTTAATGAGGAAAAAAAATTAACTTAAATGATTTTAGCAAATGGCTGCAATATAACAAAGAGTGAAAAATTTAAGGGGGTCTGAATACTTTCCGTACCCACTGTATGTATATATACGTAGTACATCAGAAATTACAGCTCCTGACTCAAAGCCACATTTTCTGGTTAGGTACTCACCATTGTGACACAAGCCAAAACTGCTGAATGAAGCAGATGTGCTTGCTAAATGTCATCTATTAACATTCGCTCATCGTCTGATGTTCCTCAACAGTTTGCTTTGCCTTCTGCTGTGGGTTTACTCATCAAATTCTCATGTGAAATGACTTCCTGTGGTCTGCACACCACCGAGAGGTTTCAGAGCGGCGTAATTCACGCTGTCAGAGAGGCGATCTCAGTTTCAGTCAGTTTGGCCAAAAATCTAAATTGTCATAATTCACAGTACGTAGCCTCATGTCCTTCCGAATGAATATGACTTGCTTTCTTCTAAGAATGTCCTGGCCTCTCCCGTGCATATAATCAAAGGGGACTGGGTCTGTCAAGCTCAAAATAACAAAAAAAAGCACCGGAAAACAGCGTGAAAAGTTGCTTTACTTGAAACTTTGGTCTTTCTGATTTAGAGGCCTGTGTCACAAAGGATGTGTAGTATTACTAACATAAAACCATATTTCTAAATTCCTAGTAAGATGGATAAGAGTCTATTAATAAATACTGATTTGAAAACAGTAAACACCAGCTGGCTGAACATCATGAAAAAAAAATTTGGTAACACTTTAGAATAGGGAACACTTATTCACTATTAACTACGACTTTTCCCTCAATAAATTCCTAATGTGCTTCTTATTAATAGTTAGTAAGTTAAGAGACCCTAAAATAAAGTGTTACTAAAAATTCTCATAAACAAACTTCCAAAATGAATGGAAAATAAAACACTTAGAATTCTATCGTTCCACATCTGTTGGTGTTCAGTTTTTTAATTGTACTTGCATGGATGTTTAATTTGCATGTTTTTTTTTTTTTATTGGACAGCAACAAAATATTGATTACAACAATATTTTCCTTTCGATGAAAAGCGTTGCATTGCACTTTTATGTGCACACTTGACCAATAGCAAACTCGTGGCCAAACCCTAAAGTCAAGTCACATTTATTTCTATAGCACTTTAAACAATTCAGATCGTTTCAAAGCAGCTGCACAGAAACAAACAGGAAAATAACAGTATTAATGTTGCAAAGTTTTCATTCAATTTCAGCTGAAAAGCAGCTCTACAGAAAACAATAGTGTCAATGTTCAGATCAATTCAGTACTGATTCGGTTTAGTTCAACAACGCTGTTAGAGAAGTGACCGAAAGCATCACAGTTCTGCTAAACTAGGTTGGATTTGTTTGGTTTTGTCCAAATCTAACCGATCCTGTAACCCGGAGTTTGTTTAGCTAGTTTAGCGTGACAATATTTGACGAGGCTCTGCTAGAGGTTCTTCAGAATTACAGCTGATGCCATGTTCTGCAGGACATCAGGAGGGCCGTTCGGCGGGCGAACAACTGTAAGAACAACAAGAGGTACATACAAGTAGACAAGCCGCCCACATGCATGTTACTTCGAGGTCTTCTTTGAGGAGAGTCCTCCCTTCAAACTGTCCTTGACAGATGCTGACTCGAGTCATACCGTATGGACAGCTACCATCAGAGAGGGTACGGTTCAGTCAACACAAACACGAGCCGCTCCTTTCCAGGAGACAAAAATGTTGTTTTCAATAACTTTATTTGAAATGTTACTGCTGAACATTTATGAAATCATATTTTCCCACCTCATGCCTGAAGTAACGGGTCTATAACTGACAAAGAGAGGAGCAAGCGTTCCCTTCAGATTACTACTCCACAAATATGCTTTTTAAAGGCCAAGTGTTAAACTCTGTCAAAGCTTTACATTATTTCAACCCTGTGACAGTGTTTACAATTAATACACAAGCACAGTAAGAAAGCGCGCGGCATTGACGAGGCCGGTAAGTTTATGATGGCCCCATCACAGTATTTATCCCGATTGTATGTTGACTGGAGTGCTGGTGTGTGTTCAGACTGTAACGCGACGGCCGCGGCTCCGGACCTGACGGACCAGCAGCTGATGCAGGTGGCCAAACGCATGGGGAGGGAGTGGAAGGTCGTGGCCATCAGCTGTCTGGGCCTCAGCAAGCAGGACCTGGAGGAGATGGAGGCCGCTGAGGAGAGCGTGACCATGCTGAAGTTCAACATGCTGGAGCGCTGGAGACGACGACAGCCCAAGGGGAAAGCGGGAATTCAGGATCTCCTCAAGTGTTTGAAAGACAACGATGACGTGCCTAATGAGGTCATTGCTGCGCTGGACGGTGAGTGACGGGATCTGGTGTGATGGAAAAGCCTTCTGAGCTCTGTCTTTTCTTAGTGTTGACCGATATATCGGCCGATATGTGACCCTGGAGCTGAATTTATACAAAGCTGAATAATAAATAAGCTTTCCATTGATTTAGGGTTGTTAGGATAGAACAATATTTGGCTGAGATACAACTATTTGAAAATCTGGAATCTGAGGGTGCAAAAAAAATCTAAATATTGAGAAAATCATCTTTAAAGTTGTCCAAATGAAGTTTTTAGCAATGCATATTACTAATCAAACATTAAGTTCTGATATATTTACGGTATTAAATTTACAAAATATCTTCATGGAACATGATCTTTACTTAATATCCTAATGATTTTTGGCATAAAAGAAAAATGTATAATTTTGACCCATACAATGTATTGTTGGCTATTGCTACAAATATACCCCAGCGACTTAACACTGCTTTTAAGGCTCACATATTAGGATTTTTTTTAAATGATCGGCATCAGCTGACAAGTATTTCTGTTTGGCCAATGTGTTGGAAGCGGGACTTTTATTTTGACAAACTCAAGAAGCTGCCAAATAAATAAATGTTTATTTGACAGATTTATTGTTTATCAAGGTATTTATTTATTTATTTTTTCAAATTTGTTTATTTTTAGATTACGCCTAATTTGTAAATATTGTGTAAAATAAATATAAATTTAATTTCAGCACTTGTTATGCATGTGTTGCCATATGAAATCAGCATCTCGCATCATAAAAGTCTATATCGGTCAGCCACTATTCTTCTTCACGTGACCTGCTGGTGACGAGGCTCATGGAGTGAGATGCTGATAAACAATGAGACGTGCATCTAAAGATGAAACATAAAGATGACGTCCTTTAGGAAGAAAGTTGTGTTGGCTGCGAGCGAGACATGTGACGTTAAATCAGGTGATGCCTGTGATGTTGGCAATCATTCCTGTTTAATGCAACACACTAAAGACAAAAACATTGATTTTATTATTATTATTATTTTTTTCATGCACTGTTCAGTTTTGGTTACATAACACGTCTTCTTTCAAACTTGTGTGAAGAAAACATCCAAAATACACGTTTTATTCCTGTCTATATTCTGAAGGCTTTTACTGAGGGGTTAGTTAGTTTTTTCAAATTTGTTTATTTTTAGATTACGCCTAATTTGTAAATATTGTGTAAAATAAATATAAATTTAATTTCAGCACTTGTTATGCATGTGTTGCCATATGAAATCAGCATCTCGCATCATAAAAGTCTATATCGGTCAGCCACTATTCTTCTTCACGTGACCTGCTGGTGACGAGGCTCATGGAGTGAGATGCTGATAAACAATGAGACGTGCATCTAAAGATGAAACATAAGACGGACGTCCTTTAGGAAGAAAGTTGTGTTGGCTGCGAGCGAGACATGTGACGTTAAATCAGGTGATGCCTGTGATGTTGGCAATCATTCCTGTTTAATGCAAGACACTACAGACAAAAACATTGATTTTATTTATTTATTTTTTTTTCATGCACTGTTCAGTTTTGGTTACATAACACGTCTTCTTTCAAACTTGTGTGAAGAAAACATCCAAAATACACGTTTTATTCCTGTCTATATTCTGAAGGCTTTTACTGAGGGGTTAGTTAGTTCATATATCATGGTGAAAATGTATTGCTTTCTGTCCTTTGACAGCATTTTCTAATTCATGGAGTGATAAAAAGAGAAATCCAAAATCTCCTCTGGAAAAACCAACTCTAAAATTTCATTAAAATCATGAGGATTGTGATCCTGACTCTTTCTGGATTTTTTTGCAAAATTAAAGCATGCCTCATTTTCAAGTTTAAACATTGTAGAATTGTTTAGAACTGTCTTCGTGTACTGTAATTAATGAACTGGTGGAGTACGGTGAGATCTATTACATTTTTACACTATTCATCTGGAGTGAAACACATTTATGCTCCTCTGTGCGGCATGAAATGTTTTTAACGTCCTTGTGGATTGAAACATGGGCCATATCGATTCCCCCATCAGATTCAATATGAAGCATTTCTGTAATAATGCCAGTTCCTGTTACTTCTGTAAAACACCGATCGTTTGTAGTAATGCTGAGCCCTCCCTCCTCGTCAGTACAGGGCTTCTGTTTCAGCTTTATATGTCAGCAGAACTGTTATTTGTTTTTCATTTGTGTCTCATCTTTTTTTCCAGAGATGCTACAAAAGAACTCAGCCACATGAACATTAGCTGTCTGGAGTCTGTGGACCGAGAGATGGTCAGGAGTCATCTTAACCTCTGTTCGAGAGCGATGGAGACGTCCTGGAAGAGCAGGCCGGTCGCGCTCTAATCTGGACGGAGATGTTTGTGCTCCGACTGGAATCTGGTGCTTTCAGGAACACTGAGCTCTGAATACACCAGACACGCTTAGTACGTCTGTAGACTGGTACACTTTGCATGCATCTCTTTATTTTGCGCTTGTGTTTGTATATATTTTAAGATACTGTACATATGTGAATGTCTTTGTAAGGACTGTACTGTAAGTAGAACTCTGTTTGTTTTGTTGCATTATGAGCTGTGATCATCTGCACTTGTTTTTGAGGAACAGGCTGATTTTGATCTCAGGTGCCATCGTTCTCTGATGGTTATGGACTGACGTTATAGTAAATATGATATCATGATATTCATGCAGATACGGGCTCCATCCACACACGTGTAATCATCACTGTTCGTGTGAACGTCCACACATGTGACTGGAAGCGTCTCTGTAGCGTTTGTTGGGTAACCTGTACGATGCGCTGTCTCAGGGGAGTCTTTATTCTGACCTTTCTTTGAATCAATAAATCATGAAAATGAATGAAAACACAAATTGTTATTCCGTCATAAACCAGAGCATTTCAGGACAAGTTACAGTTTGCAGTTTGTTTCAATCAACAGTATTTTAAGAGTCCATGATCACGCGGTAATTAAGCATCAGCACACCAGTAATTAACAATTAACTGAACATATATACAAGGGCATATTTGCATTATTACAACTTATTAAACATTTTGAGAATAAGCAAAAATAATCCAGTAATTAACTGAATGTACAGTAGATGTAGTAAAAGTTAGATACAGTTACAGTTTAGATATTCAGTAAAATAGGGAACACGTTCAGTATATATTAAGAATTTTTCCTCAGTAAACTCCTAATTACTGCTTATTAATAGTTAGTAAGGTAGCTGTTAAGTTTAGGATTAAGAGATCATGCAGAATAAGGCATTAATATGTGCTTTATAAGTACTGATAAACAGTCAATGTGCTAGTAATATGCATGCTGATAAACTACTAGTTAATAGTGAGAACTGATCCTTAAAATAAAGTGTTGCCACCAGATATTCTGTACTATCAGTAACTTTTGCAACTACATGTTAACTAGCTCTCAATAGAGTATTAGTAGACTTAGTTTAGGGTTAGGGTTGGCAGAATAAGTTGCCTTTTAGCCATTATTTGCAAGGTAAATGTCTTAATGTGTGTGTGGTAAGTGATTTACATAATGTTATAGTTCTGTGATTTACCGTCTATAAAGTGAACCAAACAGCAGGAATAATTATGTTAAATTAGTGCTGGTTTTACAGTTTTGAGTAACACATTACGGTGAAACTTTATTTTAAGGTGTCCTTGTTACACACGTTACATGTACTTACTATTATAATAACAATTAATTATGCATAATTACATGCAAGTAACCCTAATCCTGACCCTAACCATATAGTAAGTACGTGTAGTTAATTAATATTACTCAGCACTTAAATGTATAATTACACTGTAACAAGGACACCTTAAAATAAAGTGTAAACTAAATGACTAAACTTGTGTAATAAAGACCCCTGTTCTGAAGTGAAAAGTATATCCACATGAATTATTGATTTGTATGGCACTTATTGAGTGATGCTCAAGTTTATTCACCAGAAAAAGCCAGTAATACAGCACTACTAAAGACTCATGCTTAACTACTGCATAACTAATGCTAATGTGCCTTTACTATTGGTTCAGTTAGTCATTAACACCAGTGTAACGCTGCACTACTGCATGACTGTGGAGCATTCAAATAAAGAGCTACCACAGTAAGTCTTGAATCTAAAAAGAATAATTCAGCTCTCATATGACTCATGTTTAATATGTTCTTGGGAATCATCCACACAAACACAAAATAAATTTTTGTTGCACAAATAATTTAATAAATAGTTAATAAATAATACATTGCAGGTAATAAATAATTTCTCAACACAAAATAAATAGACTGAGTGATTGACATAAATATACACCGTGGAGGCCACACTAGCTTATGCGTGACTGACAGGCGTGCAGTCGTGTGAAGAGGAAGCGGCGCTGTGGTGAGTGACATCATTTCCTGTGCTCTCCGGAGCCGATGTACCCCAGCGCCCGGTTCACGGTGACGGCCCGGATGTGGAAGCCCTTCAGCG